TAATTTATAGAATAGAAAAAGACTGTACATTTGATCGGCAGAAACGTTACTGTAATGAAGGCAAAAAGAAGAGAGTGCTATGGATCCGAAAGAACTGTGTGGTGAGATAAACAGAATTATAGAAACCATCTTCCATTAAAATTGTAGAACTAAAGATAAGCATAGAATTGATGAACCCCAAAATTGTAGTAACAATAACAGCAACACAGAATAAGGGTGAACAATACCTGGAATGGTAATAACATTTCTCAAAATTATAGCAGCTATCTAACATCAAAACAGTTGAAGGTTGTAAAATCAACAGAATTATTGTCGTCACAATGGTAAAAACATGAATGAGTCATATATCAGTGTTATGGGGTTCTCCACTTTTTACACAAATGGACTCACTCAGTATATACATATACTACGGCTGCATGAAGACCCGAGAGAGCAAGACCTCCGAGTCTAGCTGTCGTGATACAGTCTTTGACTGTAAGCGACGTCTGTCAAATTCTCTGCATTAGCAGAGAGGAACCCGGACGAAGCTTTGCCGAAGGGCAAGGTTTCGTTCGGGGAGGTAGACAGGGCCTGAACCCGTCTAGGCGGGTTCGAAAAGGCTATATTTTTTGGCCGAGCCTACGGGGTCGGGGATACCCACACTAAACGGGCCTTGTGGGTGGGTTGATAAATAGGAGCAAGACCGAAGAGTCGAGTAGAGTCGAGTCCAGAGTGACAGAGTAAAAGGTTGTAGGTAACCGGAAGAGTGAGGGTAAGGTAACAGCGTTGTAGAAGTCACAGTGAGTGAGCACGTAGACTCAGTAAGAAGTCATACAGCGATACTTCAATACCAAAGAGTGTTTAGATATTTTGCTACTAACCCGTATTCCTGGAACTACTAACCTGCATTACCAGTTTGTGTTATTACGTTAATACATTATTTTCCTATATTCATTCTTGGCGTTTGTTATTTATTGGTACCGGATTTCATCCCGGAATCCGCAACAGTCATAAAAAAAATCTCTTGAATTGTGATGGACCTTTTTGAAAATTATAGTAAAAAAATAACACTAACTTCAATAAAGATTTTACAAGTGAGGAATGCCAAAGAAAGAGGTCAACCAAAATCCTTTAATAACAAGAAACGTCTGAAAACTCTTGGAATGATAACGATTTTTCTCAAAATTATCGCAGCTATCTACCATCGAGACTGTAGAACAAGGGTCAGCAACCTACGTCGCGCGTGCCACATGTGGCACGCCAAGCAGTTTCCAATGGCATGCAGCCGCAAATGATATCACGAAGTCCGAACCAATAACTACTACAACGCAAAGAAAATGTTTATCTGTTTCAAAACTGCTCACTCGTTGGACTCCAATTTATAATAAAAACTAAAAAAAAAAAAACAGTTTATTTCTATTAATGTGGTTTATAGATTGTATATATTACTATATAAAATATATTGTAGAACAGCTATATTGACCTTGACTTGTATAAAAATACGTCTGCTGTTGGCACACTAAATGATTTTAAAACCCCAAGTCGGCCCATAGCAAAAGCTTGCCGACTCCTGGCTGTAGAAGGTTGTAGAATCATCAGAAATGTCGCCACAATGGTAAAAAAATGTTATGCGTCAGAAAAATAACTTGAATTGATATAGGCCATTTGCAAAATTTAACAAAAAGGTAAGAAAAACACAAACGTCAATAAAGATTTCACAACTGAGAAAGGACATAGAACAGGTCAAGCAAAATTCTTTAATAACAACAAAAGTCTGAAAAACCCTTAGAATGATAATGATTCTTCTCAAAATTATAGAAATTGTCAAAGAGATTGTGCACTCAAAGAAGTTTTATAGAATGGATTGGTTGAAATACTATTGTAACCGTAATAACATCTCTTCGAATGATAATCAACTTTCATAAAGATTATAGAACAAAATGAGGTTGTAGAATGGCTCAGCCAAAATAGTATTGTAAAAACAAAAGCAAAACATACTATGGACCTGGAATGATAACTGGAATGATAAAGACTCCTCTGAAATTATAGAAATGATCATCCATGAAAAGTGTAGAGCTGTAGCAGACTGAAGAATGGATCAGCCAAAACACTTTAGTAACAACAAAAGCAATCGAAGGAAATAGAATAATTTGTTTTCTGCTACTTGTTCCACTATCATTTTTTAAACATCTTCGACCTAATGTTGGCTAGAGAGCTTATGTGTTACATTCATTTCTAGAAGCATGAGTTCGATTCCCATTAAATGCACGATGCTGGTTGCCTTGATTGAGACTAAAACAAGCTTACGTAGCAATTTTAACACAGTGATGCTAATTAGGGAAATAATTTAGGTCTTTTGCTTCTTCAATAAAATTACCAAATTCTTTGTTTACTTGTCTCGTTATACTTTCTACTGTGTCAAACCCTGACTATTTAGGAGTCATTTTATATGACTGTTCTGCTGTTTTAAATGATTGAAAAAGACTTCGTCGTTATAAATATTTGAAAAATTACGCTCTTA